CGACGGGTAATCAGATAATTATCCGGATATTAATAGTAAAACGGATATCCGAATAAATTCAGATTTGGATATCCGATAGATAAATGGATAAACGGATAATGGATAGGAACACTAATAAATCCCAAGATGACTGTCGGAATAATGTGATGAAAAATTTTCAAATTTTCTGAAATACAAAATTATAACATGAAATTTCTGTACCAAGTATATACACGGCTTTGTCTCATTTACCGTATACTTCCACGATAACTAAGGTTTCTTTGGAAGTATACTAATTTACTATAGTATATTTCTTACGATTAAAAAACTAAATTGCTATAAATAAACATTGTAAGCAACATAATGAACTAAATCATGGTTTCCGATTGATTTTTTTTTTAGCATCCGATGAATATATTGATGCACAATTTAACTCCAAAAATAACCAATATTGGAATATCTAAATTTCATACTTCCAATGGTCTCCCGTTTACTCCGTACAGTCCTCCACAATATTTGAGCAAATACAAAACAAATGATAAAACAAAATTAAATATTTACAGCTTTGGCGTTTTGATGTGGGAAATATCTAATAATGGCATTGAACCTTTTTATAACAAATATGATGATATAAAATTGGCAGTTGAAATAATTAATGATTTTAAAGAATTACCTATAAAAGGAACACCTCTCAACTATGTTAATTTATATAAAAAATGCTGGGATAAAAATCCAGGTTTGTCATTATACCATTGGTTTTATGTCTTATAATACTTTCTAACATTTATAATTGTTGCACATAGATGAAAGACCAAGTTGTTCTGAAATCTTAGAAGAATTACAAAACATATCTTGTGATAAAGTATACTATAACAGCATTGATGATGATACTCCAATGAACATTGATTTACCTGTCAATACTAGTGAAAATGTTATCATTAAAGATTGTGTTTTAGATTTCAATGATCTTGAAAATGAAATGATGAGAAAAATACAACTGATTAATCGATTTGGCTTACATAAAGGAAGGAATTGTGATGGAAATGATTTTATTGTCGGAATGAAAAATATTTTAGACTACAATGGAGAACTAAAATCAAATAAAATCAATAAATTTAATCCGATTGT